GACAGTAACCAAGAAAGTGCCAATTACGTAATCAACTCGTTTTCTATAAAAATAAAAAAAATATGTAATAGTGCCGCATCGGGATGTACACACGCATATATTTGTCAACTGTGTTTGCAACAAGGAAACTTAAAAATGCAGTCAGTCGACAAGTGCGTAACGTCTGGCGAGATAGCGTTTGACATGCCACCAAGACCTGTTCAACAAGTGAAAATCGGAACCGGCATCGCCTGTCTCAACATACTTTTGCTTTCTGTGGCAACAACGAATTTTAATGGCGCGTGCGGGTACAACTTCCCCTTCGAATTTATTAGTCTTGTGACAACAAGTTGCCACTTGTCATATGACTTGGGATCTGGTTGCCTTCGCATGACAACTTGTTGCACGTGACACTGTTACGCATGAATATGCAACGCAGAAGGAAGCAAGCGGAAAAAGTAATTATATGTAATTAGGCAAATTAGTTACTAAAACCTCTAGCAACTTTTATGCCTGCTGAAAATAGGTAAACCCGCAAAAAAATACTGACAAAATTGGAGTCCTACTCGACTTTTGAACTATTCCCAAATTTAAATTTACCGTGTAACTTAATATGACATATGAAAACAGTACAGCGGATACTGAATAGAATACCTTCAAAGCTTAGTATTCTCTTCCATACGCACGATAAAACTTGGCTAATGCATCCGCTGTGTCTTATGGCGCTGAACTATGTCAGAATCGTCGTATATCTCGTACAGTTCATCGTTCCATCGACTGCGATATTCGCTGTTGCCAATGCACAAAAGACCATAAATCTTCCGTAGAACCTTTCGAATACTCGTAACACCGACTCATCAGATATGGTCATCGTCCATGACTCTGCACCATATAGCAGGACGGGGATGATGAGGTGACCTGTAGAATTTGGCCCTTTAGTTATTCTGCGTTTGATTTCGAGGCTGTCATTGTTTCTGATGTTGATGCTGGTTCCAAGATAGACGAAATTAGCTACGACTTCGAAGTTATGACTGTCAACTGTGACGTGGGAACCAAGTCGTGAGTGCAACTATTGTTTGTTTGCTGACTGGGGATATTTCGTCTTGCCCTCATTCACTACCAGACCCATTTGCTTTGCTTCCTTATCCAGTCTGGAGAAATCAGAAATAACAGCGCGTATGTTGAGGCAATGATATCAATATCATCGGCGTACACCAGCTGTTGAACACTCTTATACGAAGATTTTTTTTTTTAATTTCCGGCCAGTCTATTTCAGAGGCTTTGTCTACAAGCGGTCTACAATTATAATTACTAAGTATACGCACCATACATATGTACTTCAAAGTCCAACGTGCAAGAGATATCCATTTAAAAATGAAGTATGTGAATTGACTTTCACAGAAGGCCAACTGATACACTTTTGCGCCACCGCTCAACATATCCAAAAAGAGAAAACGTGTACCGGTCTATATAACTGTTTATATTTGGATGCCAACATGCCTATCAGCTGACAAAAGCAACGTAAACTTAATCAGCTGTTTGGCAAGGAAATTCAATCGCCTTAATCAGCTGAACAGCCAACCGTGTAAATATGGTCGGGAAGTGACTTTGGCATTTGACCAACGTGTGGATAGCCGGCAAGTCGGACATGTAATGCGGAAATGTTTTATAGCAAACTGGGCTCCAAATGATATTGGGTTCAAATTTTTGTCGCATGCAAATTCAACTAAACGAATGTTTACTTATCATCAATTTCTTACTGGTTTTTGTGGGTATGTGTAAATATGTGTGCACACACAAATTATACTTTAAATTGTGCTAGGTACTTTCGCAAGACGAGATGTTATAAAAACTATGCCCTGTTGTATTTTAGCAATGGACGACGTAACTGTTATATATGTACATGCCACATGTCGAGTGTAAACGCACTTTTCAAACGGTGGCAGAGCTACCGCTTTCTGGTATGTCACACTACTAAGTTTACTTTTATGCTAGTTGTAGCATTGTTTCAGGTGGCAGTTGCCGGAAGCTTTTGTTTGTTGTGCACAGTCTACGCTCGAGAATGTGAACAAAAAAAAAAAAAAATCAAATAATGCACAAACAATTGATGCTTAAAATACTGGCGCCAGCATTCGAAATGAGTTATAAAGTTTATAGTCCGTAGGGTTCTTTACAGGGTTAGACACCACTTACGCGGTTATAACCGAGTTAACAACAGCGCGTCACTTCTTTCTTCTTTTCGTTGTTCGGCGCCACGTCGAGATACCTAATGCAGCCAGGTCCGTTTCCACCTGATCTCTCCAACGGAGCAGAGGTCTTCTTCTTTCTCTGCTTCCACAGCCGGACACTGAATCGAATATTATTCAATGTACAACATCATATTTTTTCACACTTGTGAAATTTTGGTTTAAAGACATGAAAGAAAAATCAATTTTGCACTGAATTGTCTCTGGCTATAAAAAAAAAAACTGATTTGTTTTAAGAATTCTAAACGGAGAAAAGCATGGTTTATTCCGTGACAGTCATCAACAACGACTGCAAAAACAGATCGATTCGATAAGAAGGCAATGCTCTGTGTTTGGTGGAATCAGAAGGGTGTGGTATATCGTGAGCTTCTAAAATCGAGTGAAACTTTTAATATTAATCACTACAGACAACAAATGATCAATTCCAATGATTGAAAAAAGAAGACCTGGCAAAACACAAAGCAAAATCGGTTCAGCATATAAACAAAGTACTTGGCTGGGAGCTGCTATCCCATCCACCGTATATATTGGCATCCACAAATTGCCAGAAAGGTGGTCAAATGCCCGTAAGCTAGTCGAATTTCGTCCATTATGGCTATTAAATTTTTCTTATATAATAACACAAAAAATAAATCGACAAAAGTAAAATATTACGGCTTGCAACTCAACTGTATTTTGGTTGAAGTTTCGAACATCGTTATTGTCGTTAAAAACTCAATAAGTCAAAAAAAGTTTTCGGTTGTTTGACAGCAATTTTCTTGTGGTTTTAGTGTTTTCAAATCAATTCAAATGAATATCACACAATTTTTTGGAGTTGAGTTGTTTTGATTTATCGTTTTATTTCACCGGCTTAATTAGCGCTAAAATCTTTTGCTCCTAGGTTGGAAACATCAATGAAACTTGGACTGAAAGTAGTTGAAGTCCCTAATACCAAAAAAAAAAAAAAAAAAATAGTTTGGTTGACCTAAAGTTGAATTGTTTTTACTTCAATTCAACTGAGTGGAATTGAAAACCGTAGTAGGGGTATTATATTTTTCGATTTTTTCCGCAAATACTATTTCGGAGCTCGTACTCGAAAATCTAACGACAGTTAACATATATTATAGGATTCAAGTCCTGTTTATAATTTAAAAGTACGAGTAAAGAAAGCAAAAATGAGCTTTGGAATATTTTTTGAAGTTCATTCTAACTGGTGCTCACAGTACTGAGCTTGCGTTTTGTATACATTTGGATACGTAGGTAATTTGTACGTGTTTTTCCGGCTCTTTGTTGTTATTGTTCTTTTTTGCTTTTAATAATTGTTTACGGTTTACTTAAGTGTCATCACTCACCACGCAGATGCCCACAGCGGCGACAGTAGTGTATTGCACGGTGTGTTAGTTTGCAGGTTAGGACAATAAAAAAAATGTGAATGAGTTGTATGATAGAGAAGCACATTTTATTTAACAAAAAATAAAAGCCGACATCGAAATTAAAGCTTTTTACCAGCGATGATAATTATTCAAATTGTAGACATTGTTGATTCGCTTTTTATTTTTATTGAAATCGATTTGTGAGAGAATTCTCTCGCAAATAAGGAACTCGAATTTTTTCAACTAATTTCAAAATTAGTGGCAATTCTTGCGAAGCGTCGCCAAGTTCTGGCAACGCCATCTTCGCAGCAATCCAGTGGTTTTCCATCATCCTGAAACAATATTTTTTCTGTTCTTGTAAGTTTCTTCTGGATTCAAAACGAAGTTCTGCAATATTTGGCGTTTGTAGATGTGCTTTATCTACCTAATTGCTATTATATAAATACATTAAATACAAGTACGAGTATATCTTACGACATGATAAATTCAAAATGTGGAGTTGATGTCTGAAATGATAGTACTTGAGTATATTGTAATAATACTGTATTAACTGTGCCTCCTGTTAATTTTACAAATTTCAACATGTGGTGAATTTGGTTTTCACTGTTTCTCAAATAAATCATGTATATTATATAAAAAATAACGGATGAGCCAAATAGCGGATAGGCACATTTCGCCTCGCTCTAAGAGCTCATGAAAAGTGTCAAGAAAATCCGGCATTTTCGACCCAAATTTTGTGCAGCGACAAGCCCCATTTTCGACGCAATGGTTATGTAAACAAGCAAAATTGTCACATTTGAGACGAAGAGATTCAAGAGCTGCCATTTCATCCAGAAAAAATACCGATTTGGTGTAGTTTGCGGGGCGGCGGTATCAACGATCTACATTTCTTCAAAAATGATGCCAATCTGAACGTAACAATAATTCCGACCGTTTTCACTTCATGTTAATCGACTATTTGATGCCTGAAATGGCAGCTCGTGATCTTGGCGATATTTGGTTACAAAAAGACGACGCCATTTCCTAAACATCGCATCGATCAAAGAATTCATTGAGAGAACACTTCGGTGAGCAGATAGTTTCATTAACACTTACCGAACCAAACGGGGTTAGATCGCCGAAAAAACAGCCCTTGGTCGGATGAAATACGAGTCAATTCCGGTGCGTAGAACCGGCTGTCGTAGGAATTGAAAATAATTTCATGTTTAGGGCCGGTCGATTGGCCACCAAGATCGTAAGATATCACACCTTAAACTTTTTCTGTGTGGAAACAATTGATTTCTCTTAAGACCAAATATACCAATTAAAAATTCAAGTTCAAATCTCGTCTTGTCTGATAAGCTGTTTCTTCAAAAATAATAACAACAAAATTTAGCATGTGTATCTTAAACTAAACTATTTTACTTATTATTCTATTTAATAGGTTTACACAACATAACATCCAAGTTTGGGTTTTCATGCTATGCATTGCCTTCACCCTTGTATGGGCGCGTCCACAACGGTATGCACACATCGCGGTAATCGAAAATGATGCATATGAACAGACCTTACCCAACGCGCTGAGAAATCCCTTCTACAAGACGCCTCGAGTACGCGAGGCACTAGCCAAATCCAGCTGGTTCGGACCGGGCGAAGAGCCGGTAAGTAAATTAGCTAAAATTGTTTACCAATACCGGTATCAAAGTATAATAAATACTTTTACTTGCAGGTATATGATCGGCAAGCGGAGAAAATACCACGCGCTGAGATCTACAACGTGCTCGCACATGCCGGCTTCATCAATCGAAGAGGAAAACTAATTTAAGTTGGCGACCAAGCATACCTAGAAGAGTTCTGAGCATCATAAAGGAGAGTTATCTGTAGCTATACAAGTGGGGTTATTCGTGAACCAACGAACAAACAGCTTATTTACCTAACCTAACCTGACTGAGAAATGTACATTTAGCATCGAAAATATCATACTTATAAAAATGTATTTTTATTTAGGATTCGTTGTCAACAAACAAAATCGTGTATTTGTATTATATTACAACAGATTTAATTTATATTTTAAAAATATTTCATTGCAGTCATAAACATTAAGTGTTGCACAGTCGCAGAGTAAATGAGACAAATTGATACATTTGTGGTTTGTGTGTTTTACAGTTATACAAAATTGTACATATTGAAACGGATTTAAATATATTTAGCTTAGTAGGAACTAAGCGTTTAGAAAAAATTATTACTGTAATTTGTATTACATTAGCATTAGTAGCAGTTTTAGTCTGATTCTAATATTTCACTTACTAGCTCTTTAACTAATTATTGTTTCAAAATTCTAACTCTACATTATATGCTGAAATACGTTTCAACTGTGCCTCGTTGTCGTGTCTCTGCTGGGCTAAAGAACTTTTCGCCGCATTTGCATTGATTGCTTCGCTTTTCATAATAAAACTCTTCCGTTTTTCCATGGCAGTTGCCTCCTCGACCATCTCGACATCTTCGTCATTAGTTGTGTTGCGCTTCGTTTTCACTTTCACTTTTGCGTCGGCAGCCAACTCTTCTTCGGCACTTTCATCATCATCGGTCGAGTGACCGTCATGTCCATTCATAAAAACAGCCGCGCCGCCATTAAGCATTTTTCTTCTATTATACAGGGGTTTGTTTGTTTTCTCCGCCTGCACTGTTTCATCTTTCTCTTGCGTAACGGCAGTTTTTAAGAGAGACTTCACAAAATCGGCAGCTAGCAGACTTAGTGGCGGCATTGTGTGTGTGGACATCTCAATTAGCTGGAAGCAAAAAACAACAGTTCCATAAGGATTTAGTATTTTTAATAGTTTGGAAGACATTACAGCTGTTTTATTAAATAGCAACTGATGCGTGAGAAAATATTTTAAAAAAAATAATAAATAAAATAATCCTTTAAGACGATATCTCTAAAGACATACATTGTGACAAAATAGCACCCATAAATTGTAATCAAATTCCCATGTTAAATGATATTTCAAAATGTACAAAAAATACCAAAGTGTGTTTCGCTAAGTTGGGAGAACTATCTTTAATTACTATGCCAAATATGAGCGCGATCTGTCAACCAGTTTGTTAACGACAGCTGTTTAAGTCGGTACATCTCTGTAGTGCGTTGTGATTTTTAAAATGGATAAAAATATCGACCAAGAACTTGTCTTAAATTTTGTATTTCTAACCAAATTTCGGGTGCAGAAATGTTGAGAATGTTGGAAAATGGTGACGGTGATTCAGTTTTACCAAAAACACAAGCCTACGAGTGGTACAAACCCTTAAAGGACGGTCGAGAGATCGTTGAAGACATGCCTCGTTCTGGACGATGAAAATATTAAAGATATGGCAAGAGAGCTCGACATCTCTCGCGAGTCCGTTCGAGGTAAGTTTGTGTATGAAGCGCGTTAGTGCTCGACTCGTCACGATAAACCTGATTTTTTTTCAAAAAGCGCACGAACTCCAATTCCACATTCATGGAGACCATTATAACTATCGATGAAACAGGGGATTATGAGTTCGGTATGCAAAGAAATCAAAAAAATAAGCGGAATGTAGGGAAATGACTAGCCGAAACCATAAATCCATGTCAAAGCCGCTCAAAAATCAAGATGATGCTCATTGCTTTTTTTTTTTTTGCAGCTATGTCCCAATTCGATGTGAGTGCTTCTGTCTAGCTCACTGACATCACCAGCATTTTCCGCTGTGACTAGGCACCCAAACTAACCTGATCTTAAGTATCGCAGATCTGCAATCGGAGTGAGTGCTCACTTGCCTGAAAGAGACTGCACTTTATAACAGTAAGTCTACCGACATTTTAATAACAGCCACTTCTTGTTGTAGAATGACACCACAATGGTTCGGTAGCCTAACGCTAAGATTTACGGAGCTCCTTAAAGAAAACTCTCACTTCGACCTTTCATTCTAGCTTCTACCCATCCGTCAAAAACCTCTCTCTTCTCCAGCCGCTCCTAACTCGTCTATATGCAAGTAGAAAAAAAAAATCCGCCCGAGTGGCCTTCGAGATGGAGTGATCTAAGTTTTCAGGAATGAAATTGAAGGATGATGAAATTTCAGGTCCCCAACATATGCTTAGCTTTCATGAGTCTTAGAACGCACTTCGCAGCAATACACCTGCCGGCATTGTCCACAGGGGCTTTGCATAAAAATGTTATTTTACCTTGAATTTAGTTAAGGAGATTTTTGTTTTTTTTGTAAAAGAAAAAAGAAAAAACCAAAAACGTGGCTATTTTAATATCTCACATAAATTTTGTGGTTAAGATGTAAATATTAAAGTGTTAGATATTTTCACTTTATAGAAATTGGTCATGTAACATTCTCCTGTAGAACGCAAGTTTTGCCAAAAATCGAGATACACCGTTTTCAACATTTTAAAATTCAACCACAACTTCTTTCTCCTCTTTCGAACCACAGTTCTCCGCAAATTATTATTTTTTATTATTTCTTCTCTCTACTTCAGCGGTATTAAACCATATGGTTTTTTGATCAAAACTATCTTCCCTGGTCTACTACTCCTTTTATATATCTAAAGATAATCATAATTTGTTTAGTAGAGCTCAAAAACCCTCGGATAATATGACATGTTTTTGTTTTTCTCGGAAATAGCTGCGTTTTAGTTATGTGTACATATAATTTTTTAATAAACAAACATAGTTTTTTTCCTGTGAATTAAATGAGAAAATAAAATCAAAATAGCGGCGCCATAGAGTTGAGCAATAAGAGTCATGTTTGGTGAGGATTTGTGTACCTGAAGAGGTTTGGAACTTCTAGAAAGAAACGCTGAATACCCTATAAAATATATACAGCTCTCATAGATAGCTGAGTTGATCTAGCTATGTTCGTCTGTCCGCCTTTTTTCATACATTTATGTATGTGCGAACTGGTCCCTCAGTTTTTGAGATACCAAACTGAAATTTTGATCATGTTCTTGACTCCTCAAGAAGCTGCTCATTTGTCGGAACCACCGATATCGGATGACTATAACATTTAGCTACCATACAAACTGAGCGATGGAAATCAAGTTCTTGTAAGCAATATTTTCTATTTGTGAAGGTTATTGCATTACAACAAACAGAAACATTTGGCTTGGTAAGAGTTCAAAAAAGTTCAAAGAATTATTTGAAGCACTCTAATGTACATTAGTATTTATAAATACATATTTACACATGTAAATACTTAGCGAGGAATTCGACTAATACGTAAATCGATCGAAGGATGCTTTTATTGCTAACAGATTATTTAATATTAAAACGCAATTTTAAGAAGTCAATAAGGCAGTTTTTAGCTTAGCGACAATGCATAGAGAAAAAATGCATACGTAAAATATTAAAGCAAAATGAAAAACAATTAACGATTAAAAGTAAACAATTCCGCTATCAATTGCAATTTGGGGGCGCACCTGGGAGCAACTAATATCAACCGTGATGACACAAAAAAAAGAAATAACAGAAAATGAGTGTTCAAAGGTACGCGTGCATTATTTAAGAGGGACAATCGAGATGTGTTAAAAACGTTAATTCAAAATTTAATAAAAGAACATTAAACTTTTCGTTGTTTAGAGAAGGGTTGAAAATCAAATATATTTGCATACTCTCACTTATATTTTTTTCTTCCATACATTTAAAAAGACTAATTTCGATTGTTTAACACAAAATTATCCACAAAATCTTCCAGCATGTCCGTCATACGTTCCCGGTAGATGTCATCGCTGCGAAAAGCTTCCAAACACATCTCCACACGTTTGGCACCAAAGAAATCAGTGAAACCGTTCGCCGAAGCGGTTACAGCTTCAGCCAGTTCTGTCGGTAAAAGCGTCAAGTGGGAAAAAAATAGACTTTCAATAAGTCCAACAATGCGAAATTTGTCTGCTGTTTCATTGAATTCTTGCCGCGGCAAGTACTCTTCAATGTTGAGTTGCTCCTGCTTCAAGTATTTGGACATAAAACAATAGTAGTCATCGAATAATTCACGTAAATATTGCCTCCGGAAGCTACTGCTTGTCGGTATGGTGAGTATTGTTATGACATCTACCATGGGCGGTGCATAACGGCTAAGCTGAAAGTCCACTAGACGACACTGTATGGGCGTCTTACTAGATTCGCCATACTGAAACATGGCGTTGTTCGCCCACAGATCGCCATGACAAAATACGTTTCGATATTTGTCCGACGTCTGTGCCAATTTGTAGATCGCAGCCATGCGTTTCGGAAACTCTATTAAAATATAGTCCAAATCCTCTTGATATTTCGGCAGTAATTTTATCAGTTCCGCAAATACTCGATTCGCATTGTTGAAATTTTGTTTACGCACGTGTGTCTCCGGAATGCCCAACGGATAAGCGTTCTCCACCACAGCCTCGGGATGTAGCTGGTTTAACTTGCGTTCAGAACGCACTTCATAGATTATCGAACTGGCATGCAGCGCTGCAAGTGTCTTCAATACGCAATGCAGGTGATCATAGTTGAGAATGCCGTCACGACCGGCGGCCATGCGGAAATTCTGATCCGCAAGATGTTCGAAGACGAGTAAGCGCTCGTCAGCGTAGTAGCAATTAGGCGCCACATGTGGTATAATTTTTTGCAATTGAGGCAATGCCTCACGGTATACACTAACCTCTTTTTTGTAAAGACCAAACTCTTCTACATACTCCATGCGAGATGCCAATTCTAGTGGTGGAGTTTTGGTGAAAAAGCGCACTTGCTCCAAATGTTCCTTTCCTTCGACATTAACTCGGCGAACTTTGAGCGTGAGTAACTGATGACGACCGAAAAACCCAGTGACGGTGTCTGCGTTGGCTGAATGCTCATAACTAAGAACCTCAAGTGTAAGCGGCTGTTCGAACTGATTGTACTTGTAATAGCTCTGTCCAAGTCTGTGCAAAGCATCGTTGCTTAACTCAATTGTAGCTGTCATATTGTGAAGACATGTAAAACTAAGGCGCACTTAAGAATGATAATTTTAAATAAGAATTCTTCCGGATATAGTGTGAACTGCATTAGATACTGAAGCTGAATAGCATCCCAATTTAAAACCATGGAAGTTTTGTGTGCTCACTATCAGCAAGCCCTGCATACTTCAGTTGGGAATGTAAGCGTTTGGCGAACTTAGAGGGAAATATATTTTATTTGAGTTGAGATATCGTTATGCAAATAAGATTTACTCATTGTTGAATTTGCTTACTATATTTAAAAAGTAGATAATTTGATATACAGTTCTTGGTTTACATTCTCACGCCATTCCATATCTGAGATGTTGTATAATTGAGCCTACAGTTGAGATCATAAAAATATCATTTTAAGAGAATCTAATAAATTCGTGTAAAGAAATTAAGAACGTTTTTTAAGTGGGTAGTGACTTCACATTTCTTGTCAATTGAGCATTTCTGGCAAAGTTAAAGTGCTTCAAGACCAGCATTAAGCTCATTCGATTCGCCAATTTTGTATAAGATTTTTGCACAAAAGATCGGTTAAGGAAAACATCTTTACTAATGAAACATATACCAAGTGCTTAATAATATAAAATAATGAGAAATGCAGGTTGTAAGTTTCATCTGTTTTACAGTATATTGTTCCATGAACCATAGCTGGTTATCGATTTTTTTATAAAATATGTAAGTAATTAACCAACACCTATCTTTCTACTTCAAAACATTAGCTAGATGCATAATAGTGATAACTATTTTTTGTAAGACAAAGTACAACTTTTTTAAATTAAGGGAACACTTAAGAATTCTACTGGAACTAAATATAATATACCCTTAAAGTATAAATCTTCCTCTCACTTACTTGAAGTTCGTTTAAGGCATACTAAGTGAGAGTGAGAGTCGTTATAAATGCATGAGAAAAAGAAGTTGATATTTTTCATTTCATTTCCTAATTTTTCGCCAATCGCTGTACTTCAAGGTGTTTGTTTCACTTTATAGGACAAATACAGTTTACTATCTCTAGTAACTATTTACATATGAGCCCACGTTATCTGAACCCACCGGCTACCATTATGTACACATGCAATAGATCAGAGACACACTCTATGGCATATAAATAAACTGGCGAAAACATTCTTTTATTTTTAGATAAATAAAATGTTTACAAATTTTTTTAAATTTACCCAACAAAAATTTTTGTGTGTAATCTTTAAAAAGAGTACTCTCGAATTACTCTCAATAGGGTAACATTTGGAATGGATTAGTCTCCCAGACATACCTTTAGGATACAATTAGATACTAATTAATCCCAAACGAATATCTTTTGGCTATAATTAGTGATGAATTCGTTGAATTTTTGTGTGCATGGGTACAGTTAGTCTACTTTTATAGGTATTCGGGTCTAAAAGGGTAAAATTAGTCTCTTTATAGAACAGCGCGATCATATCTCAGACTTGTCGCATGTTTTGCAGGTTCAATATAAAAGGCATTGTAAAGACATCTACGTCGTATAACCTTTATAAGATATATGAAACTTCAATCAAGCGGTGAGCTGCGGTCAGATACCTGAAACCCTGACTGAACTTGACATTTCTGGCCTTCACTTTACACATATAACGACTTTTTTGTAGGTTAAAATATAACCCTCATAAATCAACAAGCCGATTTCCAAACTTTCCACAAGGCAGTATGAAGTAAGAAATATTTCACTCAGCTTGAATAGCTTGACAGCTTTACATTTACGGATCAGTTGAAAAGTTTCCGGCCTGACATATAGATGACGCTATAAATTTGACAGCTGTCGGATCATTTTTGAGTTATATCATTCTGCATGAATCAACTTTTGTCATTGTGAAATAAATGGATAAAAAGGAATATCGCGTTTTGATAAAATATTGCTTTTTGAAGAGGAAAAATACAGTTGATGCAAAAACTTGGCTTGATGACGAATTTCTCGACACTGCCCCAAGAAAATCAAACATCAATGATTAGTATGCTAAGTTTAGACATGGTAAAATGGGTACCGAAGACTATGAACGCACTGGACGCCAAAAAGAGGTTGTTGCCGACGAGTCTACAAAATAATTTTGGATTACTATAAAGGGAAACGCTTTTGAATATAATAAGACGTTGTTTCACCAAGACAATGCACAATGCCACAAGTCAGTGAAAATGATGGCAAAAATCCATGAATTGGGTAACCGTATTCTCCAGATCCAGATTCCCAGATATCTCAGATGCCAAAAGAATGCTCTCTGGGAAAATTTTTTCGTCGAATGGAGTGGGGATCGCCGACACTTAGTCTTAATCAGAGTATCATTCCTCAAGGGAGCTGTGTTAAATAAAATAAGGGGATTTTGCCAAAAAAAAAAAAAAAAAAGTTTTTTTTACTATGGTAGGCCGCGAAGTTTTCAATTGACCTGTTAGATTACCGAGTCTTTTTCTTTCTTTTTCGCAAATTTCACTGATGTTACGTAATATCCAAAAAACGTTTCAGAAGTGCGTTATATATGAAAGGTTCTGATAAGAAAAACAACTTTTTTGGGAGAAGAACAAAAGAAATAAATTTGCAAATATACATATTACCAAAATCGGTTCGGTTATCGAGACGCATCGTGTGCTGCGTTCAATATTCGTTTCACATAATGGCACAGCAGAATCGGTAATTCCTTCCTTTACACTACTGGATAATGGGCATCTTCAGAGACTCCGTACAATGTTGCTGTCTGCTGTGGAGCAGAATATCGAAGAGGACCCGAATGAGTCTATACGCCATCACGTGCTAAAATTGGAGCTCTACTCATCCACTTTATGGAAGATTTTAAAGAACTTCTTGTGAAGCGCGTCCCACTTTTGGTGAATGGGTCCAAAACCAGATGGTCTCCAATCCAGACACTCCAATTCAATGGGTAGATTAATAATTAACAACCTCGCATTTGGAGTAATGATAATCCAAAAAGCATTGTTGAGGCGCCGTTACATCCTGAAAATGTCACTTTTATCTGTATTCTGTGGACCATCTTTCCTAAAAATTCGGTCGTAACGTTACATTCAATGGGGAACGCTGCAGAGACATGATTATTGACTTTTTGTGCCTGAATTAGATGATGTTGCAGCGGACAGCCTTTGGTTCTAAGAAGAAGACGCTACGTGCCATACAGTCTACGAAACAATCAAGTTATTGTAGGAAACTTTTGGTGAACGCATTATCTAGCGTGGTGGGTGTATAGCGTGACCTCCAAGATCGTGCCCTTTAACATCGCTGAACTACTTTTTGTGGGCTTATGTGAAGTCGCTTGTTTACGTAGATAAACTCGTGACGATTGAAGCCTTGGAAGATAACACTCGGTGATTTATTGCCTCATAAATAAAATATATTTATATATAATAATATAATATAAAATATTTGAAGATAATGACACACGCTTCTCTTTCCAATAATTTAGGCCATATTAATCAATGTGCATTTTATTTCGTCTTGAAAAGCACATGTTTCATTAAAACACCCTTTATTTAAACTTCGTATTTCACGGTAGATAATTCTAAAAATACATTAAGCAACAAATTAAATTGTTTTGCAGCTGTATAATAGAAGTGCGGATCATTATAAGTAGACACGTACTGAAGTAAGTATATTTCATAATATGCAAGGAGCAAATGACAAACGGTTAAAGTTCAAGACATGATAGTGTCCGATAAGCCTATCGAGACCCACACGTTCCATTTTGATTGCCAAACTATGAAATCATTTCTTTTTAAAGAATTTCACATTTTGTATTTTGCTAAAAATACATTTTATTTCGTTTTTTCAATTGTAATCAAAATTAAGCGTTAAGAATATATTTTTATATGCGGTTACTGCTATGTGTAGAGAGTTGAAAGCACCAAAGCTATTAAGAAGTCATCAGTGCAAGCAAGCGAAGCATTTATATTTACAATAATAACAATTACAAATAGCAACGTAATAAAACAAGAGAGAAGAACTTAAGTACAGCTGAACCGAAGCTAGAATACCCTTCACAAAAAACATATCCGTACAAGAACTTGATTTTAATCAGTCAGTTTGTATGGCAGATATATGCTAAAGAAGACCGATCTGAACAGTTTCTTCGGAGATTATACTGTTCCCTTGGATAATTTTTAATGCAAAATTTCGTGAGAATATCTTGACAAATAAAACAGATTCCCATATAAGGACTGAATTTTGATCTGTCAATTCGTATGGCAGCTACAAGCTAATGAGGTCCGATTTGAACAATTTCTTCGGAGATTATACCGTTGCCTTAGACAATAGTCCACGCCAAATTTGGTGAGTATATCTCGTCAAACAAAAAAGTTTTCCATATAAAGACCCGAGTTGGAAAGCTTAGTTTATATTGGCAGCTATATGCTATAGTGGTCCGATATCGGCGGTTCCGACAAATGAGCAGCTGCTTGAGAAGAAAAACTCACGTGCAAAATTTCAGATTCATAACTCAAAATCGAGTTACTATTTCGTGTATATACAGACGGACGCGCCGACAGAGGTTATGACTATGACAAATTTAATACACCACTTTTGAGGTATAATAATGTAAGTGATAGCGTAATCACTTTGAACCCATAAAGACTAAGTAAAAATCATTTAAGGAAACTTTCAGCTGCTTGCTGGTTAAAACTGGACTATGCGTGTTGGGACATCCGGAAGCTGCTAATAGGCGAAGAAAACGAAAAAACGAAAACTGAGCCAATGAAATGATGTCGAAGCCCGAATACTGGCCAATCTACGGCACAGAGACTTGAGTGCGGAGCAAAGAAGCTCACACATTTCTTTGCGATATGAGCGAGATCTCGCTTATGGAAATTTGCTAAAAATGCCATGGAAAAACAATTAAAATGCAACAACAATACATGAAGACAACATCATGCTTATTCAAGTATAACGGTACACATATTTCCTGTATGCTGGGCAACCCCACGAGTAAATTAATTAATTTTCCAAATGAACTTAGTGCAAACCGGCTATCACAAATTATCTAGCCCCCCAATCAGCTGCAGCTGACTAAAGTTGAAGGCACTCTTCAGAGCAGAGGAGAAGCATCTTCACGACACAACAAAAATATGAGTAATGCTCATACGACGATGATGATGATAAAAGCACGAAAACAAAACGGACAGTCATAAAATGCGTTTGACCTGCTATATAAATAATTAAGAACAAGCTCAAGCAAGTCAGGGACTGAAGCATTTAAATAGTTAGTTAGCTGGAATTACAGTTACAATCATCAGCAAAAGCGCATAAAAATTGTAAATATAAAGCCAATTATATTATAAGAAAGAGATACTATAGTATGTATAAGTGCATTTTAGTCGAATACATAAAGCCGACACAACATAGCAGATCCGAAAAATACACCAATACAAACATTACAGCGTCGGAAAGAGTATTGTTATTGGTGTTGTTGGCAAATGCACGCGGCAATTAGTTCAACGAAAAAACGATGACAAACAGCTCGTGGCGCCAAAAATGTATATACACTGAACAGAAACCCGGCAGCAATCGCAAATGTGAACCGAAAGTGCTGGTACAGTGGAGAAAGCACCAGAAAAATATTAACCTATTATCTTATAAGCTTTAGACACGCAAGGTATTGGTTCTATTTTTAGGTGACAAACATCATTGTCGCTGTTGCCGAGTAGTTTTAAGGGCTCAAGTAACAGCTGAGCGAGAATTTTTAAAGAGTAAAATATAGAAATAATGCTAATGGCGGAGAATTTACTAGCCTTAAACATATACTCTTCCTACACCATAAATAAATACATAAAGAGGAGCTCTACTCTTACCAATAATTCATAAATACAAATCTGCCCCACCATGGGTTAGCAGAGCCACTATGCAGACCTTAAGGTCGCTGGCAGTGAGCTAAAAGCTGGTCAAGGGGTACATGACCTCATTAAACATATTCAATTGTTGTTGTTGCAACGGTTACCTAGACCCCACTTCAACGGTAAACCCAGAAAACGCGCTGTTTCGACGGGGTCGAACCTTAGGGAGAGGTCAGATGTGTAGGGTTACCAGGGGACGCATAGAGGTGACATGCCTGGACTCGTACCCTGGACATATATTTGATATGTCATGATTGATTCGATCGGATAAGTCGGAATTTAATCTGATACAATATCCAGAACCAAGCTGTGCAAGGGTCACTCTTGATTCTCTCGGCAACTCCAGCGCGTCATCTACAATGGGTGGTGGTTTGACTCCAAGTATGCTATTTCCTAAAAGAGAGTCGGTGGAGATGTTGATGGCTCCACTGTGAATAGGGGTCAGTGCATGTTTGATGTTTGCTGTGTCCGAAGTCTAATCGGCGTATTGTTGTATGTCGTCGACGTAGTTGAGGAAGGACCTCTTGATGCGCCTAGGATGTGGTTCCGCTACAAGCAGATAAATACATTGATGACTTCTACGAAAGCACCACAGCAGTAACTGCTTGGATAGGGGAGGACATTATGCTCTTTAACTGGGAGCATGCAGGTGTTGGAAGACATCAAGAGGCATTCCGTTGTAGTCCAGAGTGAGTGTTCTTCATCGTCTGCATTTAACTGCATCCAAGCGACCATATTAATGCGGCGTAGTTAAAGACCGGCCGGCCGATTGTTTTGTATGTTGCCAACAACGTTTCTTTGTATTATTCCCAGATGCCGACGGCTAGCGACTTGAAGATTTTGTTGATGCTCCGTACTTTGGCAATAATTGCCGTCATGTGAGGAGTGAAAGAGCACAGGTTGTCGAATATCACACCTAACATCTTAGGGTTATGACAGTCGAAATTTTAACACCATTGACTGCAATACTAAGGTCAATTCTGTACTCTTTCGTCAAGTTAGTCAATATGGTCGTTGTGGAATTAGTGGGGGAGAGTGTTCGATTCTGTGCTGCGAGGAAGAGATTGGATGCTAAATTTTTTTCGCCTCGCGCGAGATGAGTAAACTTTGTTCAGCAACCAATACTTGTGAGCTTGCAAAAGCCTTCTAGTCGAAACAGGTAATGGTCAATTGAACCGCTAGCTCTCAGCAGAGTACACATTACCGCAATGATAGGCGCCCTAAGTTGACTTGAAAGATTTTGTAGACTTTGTCAGCATGTTGGGATGAGGAAGATGAGGCGGATACATTTATACACTATCTGCTTTACTGTCCAGTTTTTGCCACACCACGGTTGAAGCATGTTGGTCGGCATACTTTTTACGAACCTGGCTAACTGCTACAAGAAGCCTCAATAAATTTGTGGCAGACTCTAGAAGTTTTGTCGATACGCGGCGGTCTTTTTGATCCACACCTAGAAGTTGTGGCATCACAACGGGCAGGCATCTCTAATTGTCTAAGTATGATTATTCGTGGTCTTAGGAGAAATCAGTCTACTTACTTAACCTAATTAGTTAGTTAAACTCATTTTCATCACAGTGTAAGTCATTTTGGAATTTTCTAAATGAAAAAGCACGGTAGTCTTTGAACCTGCCGACGTTCCTACGCTACATTCAGCTTATGATACGAATGATACATTAAGGAACGAGGTCGTTCGCTAAGACAGATTCGAGTACCAGCGACTGTGTTCAGTTTCGCAGGCTCAAAAACTTACTCGTTGATAAACAATTTATCTCAGATCAGGCAGATAAAATAGTAACACCGAGAGGATTGTGCGAAATTTGAATTTTGGCAAATAACAAGCTGGTTTTTGGCGAAAAAATCGGTTAATGGAATTTATAATGAAAAATATTTTTGAAGAAAAAATTAATAACAACTCTCCCACGATACCTCGCAAATTTTATTCAGAAACAGCGTTCAAAATCTCGAAAGGATCGGGTGTAGCAGTTTTGACTACAGTTTTGAAGTTATGAAGTGCGTCGTCTTTGTTGAAAGTTGAGTTTTGAGTTTACCAATCTGATGTAAAGAGCGTTTATATGTTACGACAGATATAAAAATACCCATAACTTGAAACTCAGATACAAAATGCTTCAGGGTATATAGATTCATTTAAAAAAGATAAAATCGAAAAAAATTTAAAACCTACTTCTCTTAAAGTTTGATTTTGAAAACTTCAAAACCTTTGGCATTTTCTATTTATCGGAGTACAGTTGTCGTGCTGATAGTAGTGAGCACACTATACAATTCAGAAAAACATTGAGACTGTCGCTGCTATTGCTCCCACTGCCAAAGTGATACGCAGATAAACAAGTTATGGTTGGAATGCCAGCGAAGTAAACAAGTGGCGCAAAGAAAAGAACATATTGAAACAAATGAAAAGTGAGTTAAAGTAGAAAAGAACTTTGCCATTAAGAAACGAAAAACAGGATGAAAAATATATGCGAATGTAATGGCTATTTATTGTGCAGTAGTGATATGCATCTCAAAGCTAGTGGAGCGCTCAGATCAGCGAATGTGCAACAGAGTAACATCGCTAGTTGCCGCCGCAGACTGCCACAACAACACGCGATAAAGCAGCGCTTTGGCTTTGCATGTCAGACAGCGGTTGTGGAGTAAAAGTAGGGGGTACCGTGACAGTTATCACCGCCTTCGTTCTTGTCGTCGTGCGAATAATGTTAACATCGGTGCTCGCATATAAATTGGAATGCAGGCAACAGCATGTGAGATAATTTCAAATTGTCGCTCGCACTCGGCAGAACATGCGAAGGAACAAGTGCGGTTCAACGCGGCGTATGCGGACGGAAAAAATTTATAAGAATAGAAGTAAACTGCAAAAATTAAACTAAGAGAAAGGAAAAACTGAAACGCAGTAAAGTTATTGTGCGGAGCAGAAAACAAAATTCAATAAATAAATAAAACATTTACAAAATATTAAAAA